TTCAAGTGATGTGGGAAGTTTGTCGCAATCTTGGACTTCCGAATCCGGGCAAGGGAACATTCTATCGTTTGCTGCAGGGTGAAGATGGTTTATGGAATGCCATTATTCGTGCTACACAGAACTCGATGGGGGACGTGCGTACCACTTTATCCAAGAGAGTGGGTGGCGTGGGTTACATCAGTGTTGATGGCAGATGGTCACAAGCGCGAGAGGCAGAGTGGTGTACTGTGTCCTTCCTCCATCCTGAAAGTAGGAAGATCTTGCATGTAGAGACCACAAAACTTGACGTCGATGATGACTCCGCACCGAGGCTCGAAAGTGTAGGATTCAAAATGGGGATGGACTTCCTCAAGGAGCAGGGGTTTGAGATAGAGGGGATTGTTACCGATGAGGGTAGCACCTTTCGAGGTGCTGCTGTAGAAAGAGGAATCCGTCATCAGATTGACTGGTGGCATAAAAGACGATCGGTGGTGAAAAGATTTGAAAACGAGCTGCAGAACCTTGTTAGAAAAGTGGTGGATATTGATAACGCTGAGACTGTTGAGGACCTTCACATGCACACCTTGAAGAAGTTGAAGGCTTGGTTACTAAAAAAGGCTCCAAGCAAAGCGGAGGGCAAAACGGGAAAGGATGGGTTCATCGAGACAGTTTGCAGTGAGCTCAGTATTGTTTATCGTTATGTGAAACCGGCCGATGCAAAATGGATGCATCTGGAATTGCAGCAGGTGACGTGCGCCAAAGGGTTGCACGAGGCTAGTCGTGGGCCAGAGCCACATAGGAGCGAAGAGGATGGAGAGGATAATGAAACGGTTGACATACCGGTTATGCTCTCATTGATACATGAACATGGCGTGCCTGCGCATGAGGGAACGGGAGATGGTGGTGATGCGGTTGAGATGCTGGAGGGTCCAGTGTCAGTAGAAGTTTGTTGGCGGGATGTGGAGGAGCTGTGGGGGTACGACATCCACCCTGAGCATGGGTTGCGTCCCTCATCACAAGCGTCTCTGGTGGTCGCACTCGCTTGCAATGGCGCTTGCGCTGATACGGATTTCTTGGGAGAACCAATCGATCAAGCACCACCAACGACCCCTCAGACAGGTACATTATCTAATCATCATAGCCACTCTTCTCGTTCATACTATCCCCAATGCACCACCCACTTCATTACCACATCACCACACCCCCTTGCTGTTTTTGCTCACTCCATTACCACATCACCGTATCCCCACTGTTTATCATTCCATTACCATATCACCACATCTCTCAGTGTTATTTATCATTCCATTCCAATTCATCACACCACCCACTGTTTTTGCTCACTCCATTATCAAATCACCACACCCCTCTACCGTTCTTGCTCACTATATTACCACATCCCCACACCACCCACTGTTTATGCTCATTTCATTACCATATCACCACACACCCTTCAATGGTTTCTATCATTCCAATACCAATTCATCACACCACCCACTGTGTTTGCTCACTCCAATATCACAGCAGCACACCCCCCTATTGTTTTTGCTCACTCTATCACCCCCTCACCACACCCTCCATTGTGTTTGCTCACTCCATTACCACATCACTACACCCCCCTCTGTTTATGCCCACTATTCAACCACCTCACCACACCACCCACCGTTTATGATGATGCCATTACCGATTTGCAACACCACCTACTGTTTTTGCTCACTCCATTACCATATCACCATACCCCTCAATGTGTATGGTACTCCATTACCATATCACCACACCACCAGCTCAAGTCACTATAACATATCGTCACATTCTTCTACATTTGTGACAACTTGCAGGAAGCCAACCCAAAGTTTCCGTCGATGGCTGCAATGAGACGCGACGGTGGCACCCACGTAGCAATAAGAAACGGGCACGCGGCACTGGAAACGAAGTCAACGTCGCTAGAGAGAGTGGCGGAAGCAGAAGGTTGGAATATTCGGTTGCACAACGCGTCAGCGTGCATTTCAGGCATGTTATGATGCGCTGTGCAGTGAAGGCGCGCGAAGGGGATGCGATGACAAAGGAGGAGGTGTCAGAGGAGTTAGGACTGGCGGCAGATCACTTTGCAGGTGATCATTCACGCTGCCAACGAGCGGGGATCACACCTCCACGTTGTGTTTCAGAGGGATGGGGGGAGGAGAGTGCCGTGTATGCGGTTGGTTCACCAACCCACCTGGCTGTTCGCGAGTGGTTCAAGACGCGACTAGGGCCAACACAAGTGGAACCATTCATCCGTGGCGCGAATAGTTCACTGAATGAGTCATTTCACTCTCTGATTTGCAAGTATGCACCCAAGAGGCTGCGATTCAGGGGCAGCATGAAGGCACGCATAGCCTTGGCAGTGCTGCATTGGAGCAGTTGCATGGACCCACTCGTCAAGGCGTACCGCCTCCGTGCAAGAAAGGCGACACGAGTGCAGCGGGGTTCTGGAGAGAGGATCCTAGGTCCTATGGACTGGTCCTGGATCGACAAGATAATGCAGGAGTGGTTGAAGGAAGGGGCGGAGGATGTGGAGGAAACGGAAACGGCAATAGAGGGAATGCTGGATGAGGTTGTCACAGATCAGGGGGTTAGTGAGAACACCCGTGCGGTGCGACAACGAACCATGAGTGGACAGCCGAGTACTGTTTCTGTGCAACCGGTGTGCAGCACCCCTTCGGCTACCAATGAGCTCACTTTCTCGCCTGGGTGTCACGGCAGCACATCCCGGCCTGCCCCGGTGTCATACGGCCAACGAACTTCACAAGCTCGTCGCCGTTTGCTGGGTTTGTGGTTATAGACATACTTGCTTGTCCCTAAATTCCTGCTCGTGCTTCAGCAGCCGCATCCACCCTGCGCTTATGTCCTTTTTTTGCTTGTTTGCCAAATCTGTGCATTTCTGCTTTCTGTTACCAACCCACAGGAGAAAGGCCAACCAACCTACGCTAACGCTCTTGGCAAGCAGAGGTCTCACACGTAAAGGTGGATTGTAACACGCACAACCTGGCGTCTCCAATACGGTATGCGCCCAATCAGCCCCATACCCTAGGGTACTTTACGGCCCAATCATATACTTGCTGTTTTACATGACCGGTCCACCACACTCCTATAGGATGTCATTTTTTTTTAGTGATGTTGCCTTCCTTTTTGTACTATACGACTGCAAGATCGTGCCACCTACACCTTCAATGACATCCTTACCCCCCCACCTCCCCCATCCCCTCTCCCACCCGTGCCTTCTGGTCTCTGACAAAGAGATGTCACAGGTCCGGGTTTCTTGGCTGATGCCCCCGTCTCCCAAGTTTGTCCCCAACCCCATCTTCACCTCATACTTTATATTTCATACTTCGTCAAACGGCTTGCAGCAGATGCTTTGGTCAGCACTCTCTAAACGTTGCTTCTCCTAAAGACGTACGGTAGCGTACTATAAACAGGTCCACAACCCAAATTAGTTGAGGCATAACATGAACTGAAGGACCTCCCAGAAACCTCAAGTGGTTGCGTAGCCTCCTGCTTTTGCGGTTGCTAACTTCACAACATCATTGTCATCTAATAATGGCACAGCATGTGTGATATTTACTCTGAACTCTGATTGTTTGTTTTGACAATGTCGGTGTTAGGGTTTGCTTACACAATCCATACCATTCTCATATAATCTCCCTTCCGTATAATTCACAAATGAAGTTGCATTGTTGGAATAGTTTGGTAGGTTGATCCATTAGCATCTATGAGGCGAACGCATGCACCGAAACAATGCCGTCAACAGGGCCTGTACACAGGAGTGGGTGAAAAGGCAGCATAGGACTGGAGAAATCAGGTATTGTGGGAGGGGGGGATCGTAGTGGAGCAATAAGAGTGGGCAAGAGCATGCGATATCAGAGTGGGTGTGTTGGGAACCCGAATTTGTGGGGAATGAGATGTGAGATGCGGGGTGAGTTTGGAGTAGGTACGGTGTGGTCACGGAATGAGATAGGTGAGGGGATAATGGTTAGGAGAATAAAGTGGAAGAATGGGGTGGTGGCACTGAGCAAGTTTGATTTGACAAGATGGAAGAAATGATTGCGGAGAGCTCATGAGCGGGAACGGACTTGGGAGTTGTGGATGGAACAGAGTGATGAGCGCAAGAGGGTAGAGGGGTGGGGAGTGCGATGAAACAAGCAGCGACAACAGTGCTCGTAAGGCAGCAAGTTGGTGCGATATGATTGCCCCCTCCCACCGTGGGCGTTTTACACATGCAGGCATTGGCGCGGCGACCAACTTGAAGGGGAGTTGTTACCGGTGTTGTTATGCGCAGGGGTCGAGGGCGATGGCATGGCACCTGTGCAGGTGAGTGCTGCCTATAATCCCAGGCGACAGTGCTGTACTGTAGTGAGGGCTTCGCCCTGGGAATGGACGGGAAACCGGGAGTTGGGATGGGAGGGGTCAAGAGGAGAGGTGGGGTGGTGTGTGGTGGGGTGGGGTGGGGTGCTACAGTGTCTAGCGTGTGGGGAGTTGCCCTGGGCAAATGGAGGCCACTAAATGGCTGGAGGGGCTGGCTCGAGGAGCAATGAGCAGATGCACCAAACTATGGGTTGCTGAGGAAGGAGAGGATGGGTTGGAATGGAATAGGGTGGGGGAAACAGAATTACCCCTTGGGGGCAACATAGAATTTCTACTGGGGACAGGACAGAATTACCCTTTGGGGCAAAACTGAACTTGCCCGAGATTTAGAATCTCACATGGAGGGAAAGAGAATTTTCTAGGGTTGGAAAGAGAATGCCCTGGGGTTGAAAATCAAAATCTGGTCGGTTGGGATGGGAAAACAGGAGGGACGAAGTGGTGACGAGGAGAGGAGAGAGGGAAAGTCTTCAGGTGCGGGAAACAGAGTCCCCCCGTGGGGGCAGGTGAGAAATTTCTACTTCTGACAAAACAGAAGTACCCCTGGGGGCTTCACAGAACTCCCCCTTGGGGCAAAATCCGACTTCCCTCCAGGGCAAAACAGAACTTGGCGGGGAATTAGAGTCTTAGATGGGAGGAAAGCGGATGGGGGAAAGCGGATGTGCGCTAATGCGGATGGGGGAAAGCGGATGGGGGAAAGCGGATGGGGGAACGCAGTTGTGCCAAGGCGGATGGGTCTCAGGTAGGTGGGGGAAAGCGGGTTGGGGAAGGCTGGTGGGGGAAGGCTGATGGGGGAAGACGGAATGGGGCAGGACGGGATGGGGAAGGCGGATGGGGGAAGGCGGATGGGGGAAGGCGGATGGGGTAAGGCGGGTCGGGCAAGGCGGATAGGGCAGGGCAGATGGCGGAATTAAGAGACACTCACAAGCACCTCGTTGTATGAGCAGGCGAGCATTCTTGCAGGCATGGGGGGGATGACACGCAACGGTGTGCCTGCAGTGTGTGACAATTCACGTGAACGGGAGGGGAGGGCATGGGAGGAAGAGGGATGGGGAGGGGAAGGGTTGGTGGAGGGGAAGGGGGTGACATGAGGGGAGGGATGTGGGACGCGAGTGACAATGATAAGGCGGACCATGTCCTTCCTCCATCCCTGCCCTGCACCTGGTTGCCGAAACCCAAGAACTTTTGCCAATCAGTGCCGATGAGACGTAGCCCACCAGCTCACATGCACACGGGCCAAGGGCTCCCGTGTACAGCGAAGGCAGGGAGGGCAGGGAGATCATGGGATAGCAGCATACCTAGAGCAGCGAGGCGCGTGTCAAGCATGTTGCCCATCTGCGCGCGCACACACACACACACAGCGAAGGGGATGGGCAGGGAAAAGAGAGCGTTGGAACAGGAGGTGATGGGAAGGCAAAAGATGAAATCTGAGTGGTACGGGTAGGAAGGGGGAATGGAACGGAAGTGGAGAGGGAGGTGGACGGACGTATGGCGATGAGGATGGATGGGGGAGCAGCCATGCGAGCGGTGACGTTGAAGGACGAGACAACAAAGCATGGTGCTGAACAGCTTCACGGCGTGTTGGGTGGCATGGCAGCCGAGCCAACGGTGGAGCATGACACGGGCATACCAGGTTGAAGTGCTCGTACTGCTGATTGCCCAGCCCAAACACGGCAAAGCGCATGGGACGGCTGGGGACTGAGGTATGAACAGAGGGGTGGTGGCAGGTTAACGGCACAGCATGAACCAGTCATGAAGGGCAACACGCACGCGCTGCACCTAGCCTCTCCACCGCTGCTTACCTCTACCTCTGCAGCAGCAGCATCCACTTGAAGAAACGCTGCACACCGTCCGTTGGCTCTCCGTCAACGTAGCTGCCCACGGAAGAGGGAGGGGAGGGGAGGAGGTGAGCAATGGGGGAAAGGCATGGGCAAGGCGGAAAGGCATGGGCAAGGCGGATAGGCATGGGCAAGGCGGATAGGCATGGGCAAGACGGATAGGCATGGGCAAGGGGGAAAGGCATGGGCAAGGGGGAAAGGCATGGGCAAGGCGGAAAGGCACGGGCATTGGGGAAAGGCATGGGCAAGGGGGAAAGGCATGGGCAAGGGGGAAAGGGACGGGCATTGGGGAAAGGCATGGGCAAGGGGGAAAGGCATGGGCAAGGGGGAAAGGAATGGGCAAGGCGGATAGGCATGGGCAAAGGGGGAAAGGGACGGGCAATGGGGAAAGGCATGGGCAAGGGGGGAAAGGCATGGGCTAGGGGGAAAGGCATGGGCTAGGGGGAAAGGCATGGGCAAGGGGGATAGGCATGGGCAAGGCGGATAGGCATGGGCAAGGCGGATAGGCATGGGCAAAGGGGGAAAGGGACGGGCAAGGCGGAAAGGCATGGGCAAGGGGGAAAGGCATGGGCAAGGGGGAAAGGCATGGGCAAGGGGGAAAGGGACGGGCAAGGGGGAAAGGCATGGACAAGGGGGAACGGCATGGGCAAGGCGGAAAGGAATGGGCAAGGCGGATAGGCATGGGCAAAGGGGGAAAGGGACCGGCAATGGGGAAAGGCATGGGCAAGGGGGAAAGGCATGGGCTAGGGGGAAAGGCATGGGCAAGGGGGATAGGCATGGGCTAGGGGGAAAGGCATGGGCAAGGGGGGTAGGCATGGGCAAGGGGGATAGGCATGGGCAAGGCAGATAGGCATGGGCAAGGCGGATAGGCATGGGCAAGACGGATAGGCATGGGCAAGGGGGAAAGGCATGGGCAAGGGGGAAAGGCATGGGCAAGGCGGAAAGGCATGGGCAAGGCGGAAAGGCATGGGCAAGGGGGAAAGGCATGGGCAAGGGGGAAAGGCACGGGCAAGGGGGAAAGGCATGGGCAAGGGGGAAAGGCATGGGCAAGGGGGAAAGGCACGGGCAAGGGGGGTAGGCATGGGCAAGGGGGAAAGGCATGGGCAAGGGGGATAGGCATGGGCAAGGCGGATAGGCATGGGCAAGACGGATAGGCATGGGCAAAGGGGGAAAGGCACGGGCAAGGGGGAAAGGCATGGGCAAGGCGGATAGGGATGGGCAAAGGGGGAAAGGCATGGGCAATGGGGAAAGGCATGGGCAAGGGGGAAAGGCATGGGCTAGGGGGAAAGGCATGGGCAAGGGGGATAGGCATGGGCAAGGCGGATAGGCATGGGCAAAGGGGGAAAGGGACCGGCAATGGGGAAAGGCATGGGCAAGGGGGAAAGGCATGGGCTAGGGGGAAAGGCATGGGCAAGGCGGATAGGCATGGGCAAAGGGGGAAAGGCATGGGCAAGGGGGAAAGGCATGGGCAAGGGGGAAAGGGATGGGCAAGGGGGAAAGGCATGGGCTAGGGGGAAAGGCATGGGCAAGGGGGATAGGCATGGGCAAGGCGGATAGGCATGGGCAAAGGGGGAAAGGGACCGGCAATGGGGAAAGGCATGGGCAAGGGGGAAAGGCATGGGCTAGGGGGAAAGGCATGGGCAAGGGGGATAGGCATGGGCTAGGGGGAAAGGCATGGGCAAGGGGGAAAGGCATGGGCAAGGGGGAAAGGGACGGGCAAGGGGGAAAGGCATGGACAAGGGGGAACGGCATGGGCAAGGCGGAAAGGAATGGGCAAGGCGGATAGGCATGGGCAAAAGGGGAAAGGGACCGGCAATGGGGAAAGGCATGGGCAAGGGGGAAAGGCATGGGCTAGGGGGAAAGGCATGGGCAAGGGGGATAGGCATGGGCAAGGGGGAAAGGCATGGGCAAGGCGGATAGGCATGGGCAAGGCGGATAGGCATGGGCAAAGGGGGAAAGGGACGGGCAAGGCGGAAAGGCATGGGCAAGGGGGAAAGGCATGGGCAAGGGGGAAAGGCATGGGCAAGGGGGAAAGGGACGGGCAAGGGGGAAAGGCATGGACAAGGGGGAACGGCATGGGCAAGGCGGAAAGGAATGGGCAAGGCGGATAGGCATGGGCAAAGGGGGAAAGGGACCGGCAATGGGGAAAGGCATGGGCAAGGGGGAAAGGCATGGGCTAGGGGGAAAGGCATGGGCAAGGGGGATAGGCATGGGCAAGGCGGATAGGCATGGGCAAAGGGGGAAAGGCATGGGCAAGGCGGAAAGGCATGGGCAAGGGGGAAAGGCATGGGCATTGGGGAAAGGCATGGGCAAGGGGGAAAGGCATGGGCAAGGGGGAAAGGCATGGGCAAGGGGAAAGGCATGGGCAAGGGGGAAAGGCATGGGCAAGGGGGATAGGCATGGGCAAGGGGGATAGGCATGGGCAAGGGGGATAGGCATGGGCAAGGGGGGAACTGCACGCTCACCTGCTCCGCGTGCAGCATGCTCGCCGGTGCTGTCCACGCGGCCAGCAGAGCGCAAGGCGCTGCCTGGTGAGCGTGGGGGGCGCTGACCCGGCGGGTGGAGCGGCGCGTGGGCGCTGTGACGTTGGAGCCTGTCGTTCATCCACAGGGAGGAGAGGGAGGGGCAGAGGGGAGAGCGGAGGAAGAGACGGAGGGAGAGAGCAACGCGGACGCGCGAAGGGCAAGAGGGGTGGAGGCGCATGCAGTTGTAGAGCGCGCGGACTGCAGTCTTCCGCAGTCGCATGGCGCACATGCAGTCGCATGGTGCAGATGCAGTCGCATGGCGCGCATGCAGTCGCATTGCGGCCATGCAGTCGCATGGCGCGCATGCAGTCGCATGGCGCACATGCAGTCGCATGGCGCGCATGCAGTCGCATGGCGGCCATGCAGTCGCATGGCGCGCATGAAGTCGCATAGCGCACATGCAGGCGGCATAGCGCACATGCAGTCTAGGTGCGGGCTCGTGAATTCACAGGGCGCTCACATGCAGTGAGAGACGAGCCCGCACCTAATACGACAGCGGATGAGAGACGAGCGCGGATTGTGGGCCAGTCCGGATGAGAGACGAGCGCGGATTGTGGGCCAGACCGGATGAGAGAGGAGCGCGGATGCGCGAGGTGCGCGGATGAGATTTCGGGCGCGGATGAGCGACGGGCGCGTATGACATTTCGCGCGCGGATGAGCGAGGAGCGCGTATGAGATTTCGAGCGCGGACGAGCCGTGAGCGCGGATTCCCTAAGATCGCAGGTGAGCGCGGGGGTTGGTTGAGCGACGAGCGTCGGTGTGCGACGAGCCGAATGCAAACGGCATGAGAGCGGGGGGACGATGAGAACGGTCTGGTGGTGGTATACAATGGCAAAGCACTTTCCCCGCCCACACGCCCTAGGCTTTCTGGGTATCGCGTCATGCCTGCCGCAGCAGTACACACCTACGATGTCGTCTAGTTATGCCTGTTGCTGGGCGCCGAGAAGACATTGATGCGTCACATGTACGTCACCATTGAGACCTTCCTCACCGTCGAGGGTATCTTCGCGATTTTAGTAAACCTGGTCGTAGCCCTATATGTATCGCTCGTCTCTCCATTCCGCATTTCGGAGGGCGTATAGGAGTGAGTGGTCAAAGGCCTGATTAGTAATCTTGCTTGGAGTGAGTGGTCTAGGTGTGTTGCCCCTTCTCCCGGGCTTTCCTCGGTGATTGAACTTCAAAAGTCCCAAATTGCGGGGCTGTGGGCATCAAGGTGAGTATTCGGAGTCTGCCTGGTGTTAGGACCAGGGCTGCAGCGTTTCGCACGGATCCACCCAACCAATCGCGACGATTGTGGACAACTGTTGGGGTCGCTCGAACTTCCGTGTCAATGAATCGGGTAACACACTTCCGAGGCCATCAAGATTACTAATCTTGATGGCCGCGGCTTGCAATTTGGGCCTTGAGCTTTAAGCTGTTTCAGATCACAGATTATATTTCGTATGAGTTTCCAGACAGCGAGGGTACATCTGTCTGATAACCCAAGGGAAAACAAAGAAGCTTGAGAACCCCCTCGCAAGAGTCGATCCCACTACCGCCGAAGTCCGCGTTCAAATCAAACCAACTCCGCCATCCACACAAATACAATTGCACGTTAAACTTTATTTATACGTTTTCACAGACGGCCTTAAATATTTCATCTGGAAATCAGATCACCCAGAATCCCTCATATGATGGTCAGACTAAAAAAAAAAATTTACTTTTTCATCAGACGGCCCAAATAGTTAGCAAGAGCTCTGGTTGCAACGCCTGAGCCACAAACCACCAACCTTTCCATGCTCACTGTTCACAGCAATGCCAAGATGCCATCTCCACAGCAATCTCCGCTTCCCAACCAACGGTGATCCTTGCAGAAGCGCCCATGTGCTGCTCCGTGAACTCATACCATGGCCCTAAGCTCGAATTCTCTAACCCCATATTGCCCTCAGGCACCTCACTCGCAACCGCAACCACTTGTCTGCAGCAGCATCATTAACAGCGGCACCATCAGCAGCAGCACCATCAGCAGGGCTGATCCTGGCAGAGGCACCCATGTGCTCCTCCATGCGCTCGTACCACGACCTTACGCTGCAAATTCTCTAACCCCATCTTGCCGCCGGGGCATCTCACAGCCCTACTTGCCCGCAGCAGCACCATCAGCAGCAGCGATCCTGGCAGAGGCGCCCACGTGCTGCTCCATGCGCTCGTACCACGCCCCTATGCTCGAATTCGCCAACCTGTCGTGCCTCCTTGCACCTTAACGCCCTATTTGCCCGCAGCAGCACCAGTCACAGCAGCACCGTCAGCGGCGGTGATCCTGGCAGAGGCGCCCACGTGCTGCTCCATGCGCTCGTACCACGGCCCTATGCTCGAATTCGCCACCATGTCCCTGCCAGCTGTCAGGTGCCTGATTGGCCGCAGCACTCCAAACACTGCCAAATCAGCGAGGTTCGGGGTCTCTCCTCCTGTAGGCATGGAACCAGGGCACAGCAAAGAGAGAGGGCGCATTACCAACATAGCTTGAAAATCAGCACAGGCACGGTCGCAGCAGAGGAGCACGCACACACAGTCACACTCCATGACACCTCACCTGACCTGCTATGCGGTGCTTCTTCTTCAGCTTCTTGCAAATCACCCCACTCACACCACTCAACCCACTGCAACCTACCAAGGAACTTCCTCTCGCCAAGAGCGACCACCCACGAATCGGCCGCCTTGTAAAGGTCCGTGCGCTTTGAGACGACTCAGAACACGCCTGCTCACTTCATGCAACCCACTCAACCCACTGAGAACTTACCAAGAAACTTCCTGTCGCCGAGAGCCGCCACCCACTTGTCTGCCGCCTTGTAAAGGTCCGTGTGTTTGGAGTCGACTCAAAGCACAACTGCTCACTTCATGCGACCCACTCACCCCAATACCCCACTCACCCCCCACTGACAACTTACCGAGGAACTTCCTGTCGCCAAGAGCCGCCACCCACTCGTCAGCCGCCTTGTAGAGGTCGGTGCGCTCATCCGCTATGCCGTGCTTCTTCTTCAGCTTCTTGCCTATCATGTACATGGCGCCCGCTCCAAAATAGCGAGCCATCATGCGCTCCCACGCCGTGAAGTTGCCTGCATGGGGCCGAGGAGGAGGAGGGGAAGGAGAAGGGGTTGTTGAGTCGACTCTCGTAGATAGAGCATGTGTCCGCTATGCCGTGCTTCTTCTTCAGCTTCTTCCCAATCACATACATGGCGCCCGCCCCAAAATACTGAGCCATCATGCGCTCCCATGCCGTGAAGTTGCCTGCAAAGGGGGGAGGAGAAGGAGGAGGAGGAGGGACTGTTGAGTCGACTCTAAAAAAGCACTTGTTTGACATGCTGCGCTACCAGAGAAAGCTTTTCATTCATGGCTGTCACAAGGGCATGAGCACAGAGGAAGCTAGAGAGAGCAGAGCAGAGGTGGCCAGAGAAGATGCTGGCATGCGCTGCTCCGTGCGCTCATACCATGGCCCTATGCTGGAGAAGCTGCCGGCATGCGTTTATGAGATGATCTGGATGTGCCGAGTCTAGCGAAGCGAGTCGGCAGCCATTAATGGCCCTCACAACAAGCGCATTGGCACAGGCCTTCCTTCAGAAGCACAAAAGAGAGCTAGAGAGAGCAGAGCAACAGTGGCGGAGGGGAAGTGGTACCATTGGTGGCAATGTAGTCGAATGCCTCTAGCGCCTCAGAGGCAACTGTGAGTCAACTCAAGAACCGTTTCAGTAAACCCAAAGTGCAGCACTGGTGGTAGTGGTGGGTGGGAGGCATACCATTGGTGGCGATGTAGTCGAAGGCCTCTAGCGCCTCAGAGGGCGAGCGGTAGATGTTGGGCGAGAGCAGATGCACCAGGTGCCCATCCACCCACCTGCCATGGAGGAGAGAGAGACGGAGTAGAGAGAGAGAGTGAGAGACGCACCCAGGATAGCCGTTATTCTACAGGGGAAGAGAGGCATGATGGGTGTCAACACCGCTCGTTCCTTCCACGGACAGTCCTGTTTAATCCTCCCTGCTTCTCCCCCACCCTTCCCTTCTCTCCGCGTCCCTTTAGCCCCCACTTAGACGCTTCCATGTAGAATGCACAGCATATGCTTACGCTCCTTACCCCACTCTCTCCCCCACCCCTCTTCCCTTTTTTTCCAAAGTGTCCTATTCCCCCCCCCCCACCACCCCACCCCCCTCTTCGCCTTGTCCCGAATCCCCATACCTGCGCCATCGGGTCTCCTCGTCCAGTTCCTCCTCCGCCTGCCCCTCCGCCACGCCCCGCTCCCCCACGTGCCCCACAACCTCCGCCACTCCCTCCGCCACACCACCGCCCCCGCTGCTGCTAGTTCCCCCCGCGCTGCTGCTACTCCCGCCGCCGATGGCGCTGGCATACGCGCCAGGCGCGGAAGCCGCCGCGGCGGAGGCAGCAGGGGCGGCGGGCGGGATGTTGGTGGCCTTGGAGGGGTTCAGGCGGCGGTGCAACTCGGATATGATGGCTGGCGCGCGGAGGGGGGATGTAAGAGGGGGAGTGGGGGGGGGGAGGGGTTAGGGGAAGGGAGTAAGGGGAAGGGAAGCAGCATAGCAGGGGCGGCGGGGGGAATGTTGGTGGCCTTAGAGGGGTTCAAATGGCGGTGCAACTCGGATATGATGGCTGGCGCATGGTGGGGGGGGGGGGGAGAAGGGGAAAGGGTGGAACAGGGGGAAAAGGGGAACAGGAAGGGGGGGAGTGGGATGTGGTGGCCTTGGAAGAGTTCAGACGGCGGTGCAACTCGGAGTTGATGGGGGGGGGGGGGGAGAGAGGGGATGGTGGGGGGAAGGGGAGAAGTTGGGAGGGGGGACGGAGGAGGGCGGAGGAGGAAATGGTAAGGAGGTAAAGGGGGAGAGTGCGGGAAGGGGCTAATACCAAGGGAAAGCGGCAACTGGAGGGTGTGCACGGCTGTCATGCGGCGAGTTGGCGCATAGGGGGCAGCAGAGCGAAGGGGGGTTGAGAAGGAGGCCATCAGGAGTGGGGCGCGGAGTGCTGGAGAAGGGGTCTGGAGGTGGGGAAATGGTGAGTGGCAGTCTGACGAGAAGCAGACATCTGGTCCACGCAGCGACGGTGAGAGGGACAAGAGGGCAGCCAAGAGGGCAGCCAAGGGACAAGAGCAGCACCTGAGGAGTTGACGAGCGACTCGCCGTTGACAACGAGCACGGGCACCTTCTTGCCACAAGGTAACAAGTTGGTTATGAGACGTCTCAAAAGCAAGGGGGAGAGCCGCACCTGATGAGTCAACGAGCGACTCGCCGTTGACGACGAGCACGGGTAACTTCTTGTAGGGTTTACTTGAGCTCCTTCATGCGATGACTCAAGACAACAAGGGATAAGAGGAAGACCTGAGGAGTCGACGAGGAGGGGAGAAGCACCTGAGGAGTCGACGAGCGACTCGCCGTTGACGACGAGCACGGGCACCTTCTTGTAGGGCGACCACTTGAGCTCCTTCTTGCCCACGGGGTTCACCTCCACCACCCTGTACGGGATGTCGTAGTAGTCCAGGAAGGCTGTGGTGGGGGGGAAAAAGGCGACAAGGAGGAGAGGGCGGCTGTTGAGTCGACAGGGAGAAGAGAAGCACGTGAGGAGACGACAATAAACTTCCCACTGACGGGTTCACCTCCACCACGCGGTACGGGATGTCGTAGTGGTCCAGGAATGCTGCAGTGAGAGGGATCAGTGGTGAGGGGAGAGGAGGAGGAGAGAGACGTGAGGAGTGGAGAAGGGGCTCCCCATTGACGAGACGAGCATTGGACCTTGTTCCCCACCGGATTCACCTCCACCACGCGGTATGGGATGTCGTAGTAGTCCAGGAAGGCTGCGGTGGGAAGGAAGAGAAACGAGGAGGAGAGAGGCAGGTGTTGAGGTGACAGGGAAGGGGGAAGCACGCGAGGAGTCGACACGACGACCACGGGAGCCTTCTTGCCCACGGGGTTCACCTCCAGCACGCGGTGTGAGATGTCGTAGTAGTCTAGAAAGGCTGCAGTGGGGGAAATCGATGGCAAGGAGGAGAGAAGCACGTGAAAAGCCGACACGCGACTCCCGATTCATGGAGAGCACGGGGACCTCCTTGCCCACGAGGGTTCACCTCCACCACTCGGTATCTGATGTGGTGGTAGTCCAGGAAGGCTGCGGAGATAAGGAGCGCACAGAAATGGAGCAGGCGGCGGTTGAAGAGAAAATATGTTGGCGTGACGTGCATTGCGAGGAGAGGTAGCGGGGGACACCAGCACGCCCGACAAACCGGTGTTTGCACCGAGATTGCCATTTGATAGTGCAGTTTTGGCATTATTCAATAGTGTACCTTTGACCTTGTTGCAGAAAGGGCACGCCTCGTACTGGTACAGCACCACCTCCGCGTCGCGACCCAGATCCACCTCGGGCCGCTCCTTCGCCGCCACCGTTGCCGTCCCGGAAAACGCGGCGACCAATGAGAACGAGGCGCCGGCTGCCAGCAGCCAGGAACGAGCGGACGTTGACGACAGAGACGGCGACGAGAGCGACGGAGGCGAGAACAGATGTGACGTAAGCGGTGATGCGGATGACGTCATCACAGATGGAGCAGCGATCAGGGATCTGGGAGTTCTCGAGAGTGAGTGACTCGCCAGTGTACTAACGAATGCAGTGGAGTTAATAACGGATCTAGCACTAACGGGTTCGACGGTGACGGATCTAGCACTGACGGTTCCCAGAGATGGAGTGACGGGGACGTATGGCGCATGGGTGGTGGATGGCGGATCGCGAGGTGCATGTGGGGGAGGTAGATCCGAACACGTGCTGGCTGCTGGCGAAACGGCGTGGAAAGATGCGAATTGCGAGATCGAGGGATGGGCGGTAACAAAACGTTGGGCTTGATCGGACGGTCTAGCGGAGGCTAGGAGCAGTCTCAGCCTTCCCAGACCGGAAACCGAACCTCTCGCCATGGCGTTGGGGGAAAACAGCCACAGAAACGACCTTGTCCCCGCGAACTACGGTGCGACGTGCACGCAGGTAACGACCACGTCAGAGCACGGTCGAACGCCGCAGAAGCGACCAAAATGGCAGCTTCAAGCAGCGGGGAACTCCTAGGAGGCTATAATATATGACTCGGATCGCATTGGCGTTTCTGTACTTGGAGAGTCTGTGGAGAATGAAACTGAGGACCAGGCGTCATGCATGGTTGGGTGCGGTGTGGTGCGGAAAGAACTCTCTTGCAACATATAGAATTCGCGCTATTAAAATACCCGTCATTGTGATCCTTAAGTCAGAAATTGTACAGTCTCTGCAAAAACCAGGGAGAAATAATGTTTAGAATTTTGTTTTTACAGAAACACCGTTGAAGACCTTCACCTGCACTGGTTGCTTCGTTCCTCCACGTGGTGATCTCGTAACCCATCCACGAAGGTACACCACGTCATCTCGTAAATCACACCACTTCCAGCTGTCCACGTGCACCCCCCCTGCCAGAAATTTTCCCCACACCGCCGCACCGCAGATTCCCGCCACACTCCCCCCACCCACCCAGAAATTCCCCCTCAGCCCCTTCCCCGCAAGCTATCCAGCTGGAACATTCTCCACTCCACTCCCACACACGCTCGAGAATCCACACAGCACCATTTTCCAGCCTTCAGGGATGATACAGAATTCTCAACAGACTCGATCGGCAGAGCTTACGCGTTAGGCCAGCACAGGCCATATAGCTCGTTTATTTGAAAGTCCATCGTTAGTTTTGAGTTAATGTCTGGTGCTGCTCGTGCGCTTCTGGTCCGATTACGCCCGTCTTTCGCGCTCTTAGCTCCACGGACGGTTCCTCAACCGAGGGATTTGCCATTGGCATCAGTGGCTGCCTCTCCGTACCTTTCTGCGTCGCGCGCTTCCCCGTACTCCGCTCTCCGCACGCTGACGTCAGCAGTCATGTCAGGCGCTCTTTCCACGGCCGCTGGCACTTCCGCGGCTGCTGTAGCGCCTTCCGCAGTTCCGCGCGCGCATTCCGTCGCGCGCGGATCGTCCGCGAAGGGGGTCATCCAGATCCCGACCACCGCTCCTCGTGGCTTGCGCGGGGAGCCATGGCGTGGATTGCGTAGGCTGACTGGCGGAACCGTTGCGCCGTCAGCAGTTCTTGCGCGGAAGCTGGCCGCAAACGCTGCACGAATTCCGCGCGTGTCGTGCTCCGCTGCGCCGTCCGGATCCGTCGCCACGGCTCCCGCCAGCCAGCAAGGTCCGCCATCGCTGTGACTAGCCACTTCGCCTGGCCTCGATCTGCTGTCTTCCGGATCGCCGGCTTCTAGATTACGTTTTTTAACTCGACCGTTTATAAACTCCTTCGCGTTGATCGCCGATGCGGTTTCCACCCACCATCTCCCTCGCGTGTGCTCTCCATGCGCTGCCTCCGCTGCTTACTTGGCTTACCGTGTCCTTAGTTTCCATCCTGAAATCACCACGGAAGAAGATCCAAGGCTTTTTCTTCGCTTTCTTGATTCACGGCGCCCCCCAGCATCCCAAGGGCCGCCATTCTTGCGCTCGGCAACATCCGACCGCACCCCATCACATCCCAACCCCTGACTCTCCCTTTTTCTCCCAATATCCTTCCTTCTCCTCCCCCATCCGCAGCGGCGAGTCCCGAGGTGGTGGCGCGGCTGGGGTTCGAGGAGGAGCGGCGCGAGCACGTGGCGGAGTACAACGCGGAGGCGACGGTGTACCGCCACAAGCGCACGGGCGCGCAGATCATGTCGCTGTGCTGCGCGGACGAGAACAAGGTCTTCGGCATCACCTTCCGCACGCCCCCGTGAGTCCGCGCGGTCATTTGTCTTAGCTCGCCAGGTGTCCTTTCAGAACGACGAAGAGAGCGAGCAAAGAGAAGTGGAACGAACGAAGCCAGCAGTGCAAGAGGCGGTTCCGTCAAGGCATAAGTCGCAGCGCGTGGAGCTATGCCCGTCACACGAAATCAGACAATGGTTGCTAGCCTTAAAAATCGTCTTATTTCGAATGACATTAGCTACAGTGCGTCGATCAGTGCCACCCTGATGCTGCGAGTCCAATGTGTGTAGACGCGTCGCTCAAAGACGGCCTTATATCCCTTATTTATCATCTTTGCCTTGTTTGCTCATGTGTCCTCCACTCCCACCTCCCGCTTTCTCCTCTTCCCCTCCCGTTTTTCCTTCCGCCGCACCGTTCCCTCCCCCATATTCTCCCCCGTGCCCCCCGCCTTGCGCGCAACAGCAAGGACAGCACGGGCATTCCGCACATTCTCGAGCACTCCGTGCTGTGCGGCTCGCGCAAGTACCCCGTTAAAGAGCCATTCGTCGAACTCGCTAAGGGCTCGCTCAACACCTTCCTTAACGCGTTCACCTACCCCGACCGCACGTGCTACCCCGTCGCTTCCACGAACCTGCAGGTACGGCGTCTTGCTGCGTCTTTCACTTGGTATGCGCGCTTGCGCGTCGGGCCTGTAACGTCAGCGTCACTCCTGATTCGATAATAGAGACCCGCACGCTGAAACACTGACAAGGAGAAGTGGATTTGAAACCAGTGCACCGAACTGCATTCGTCTGAAACACTTAATCCGCTTTCCCCTTAGCACTGTAGTCGCCCTTCAATCTACGGCCTCTCGCCGTGCTCCATCCCCAAGAGCACATTCTCCGCTTCGTTATCGCGCGACATGTGAGGACTCTCACCATCTAGTGGATTCGTACCTGGATACGGTGTTTTGAGAGGCTGAAAAAGTTTCCCGTTGTTGCGAGATCCGTTACAGGACTTCTACAACCTGGTGGACGTGTACCTGGACGCGGTGTCTTATTAGCCTCAATAATATACCTCATTATTGTCCAACCCGTTACAGGACTTCTACAACCTGGTGGACGTGTACCTGGACGCGGTGTTCTTCCCCAACTGCGTGCGCGACGAGAAGACGTTCCAGCAGGAGGGGTGGCACTACGAGCTCGACGATCCCAAGGACGATATCACCTTCAAAGGTATGGCGATGGTCCCAAGGGCTACATTTACACTCCAAGGTATTTGAGAGTCGTCTCAAAGCAGGAGGGGTGGCACTATGAGCTCGACGATCCCAAGGACGACATCACCTTCAAAGGTACGCCGATGGTTCCAAGGAAGGAGCACATCACCTTAGCGTGTAGATGGTATTTGAGACGTCTCAAAGCAGCAGGAGGGGTGGCACTACGAGCTCGATGATCCCAAGGACGACATCACATTCAAAGGTAGATCAACGGCCACGATTAAGCTTTTTGGAGTTGTGAAAGGTGTTTGAGACGGCTTGAAGCAGGAGGGGTGGCACTACGAGCTCGATGACCCCAAGGACGACATCACCTTTAAAGGTACATCCACGGCCACGATTAACGTTTAAGATGTGGTGTGGAGGGCTGGGATCTTGATGAAAATGTGAAATTGGACGGATGGGATTTGTGGCAGTCGAGGGTGCAAAACTCACAACTTTTAGAAGTTCAACTCTTTTGTGGATACCAGCAATCTTTGGGTCACTCAATTGCGAGTGTTTCTTCCTCGTGTCTTCCCCGTCCCTCCCGTCCCTTGGTGCCCCAACCCCCGTTTCTTCCTCATGTCGCCATGGGCCGTTGCGATCGCGGCAGGTGTGGTGTTCAACGAGATGAAGGGCGTGTACTCGCAGCCCGACTCCGTCTTCATGCGCGCCGTGCAGCAGGTGAGCAGTGAAGGGAAAGGTACGGGGAGAGGGAGGGGGTAAAGGGGAGCGGGTGCGGGGCAGATTGGTGGGAAAAGGGGATGCGAGCCGTGTAGCAAAGGGTGTATACTCGCAGAGGGTGTATACTCATGCGCGCCGTGCAGCAGGTGAGGGGAAAGAAGGGGAGTAGGGGGATGGGGAGCGAGGTGAGGGGGATCAGGGGAGATGGGTGGAGATGGGGGCGGATGGGTGGGGATGGGCGTGTACTTGCAGGCCGAATCCGTGTTCATGAAGGGGGAAGAGCGTGAGAGGGTGAAAGGGCCTGGGGGGTATTGGGGAAAAAAGGGTGATGGGCGCGTGCAGGTGACTGTTCAGCACTCTCCCTTCCCTTGCCCAAGTCGTTGTTTGCTGACTACGAGTACGCAGTGGACAATAGCTTTTAAGAAGCTCCCACCTGCATTCACCCTCGCCTCCCCACTCCCACCCACTCCCACTCACTCAATCTCCAACTCCCTCGCATTCCCTCTTACTCCCCCACCCTCTCTTTCCTCCCAGGCCCTGTTCCCCGACAACGAGTATGCGGTGGACAGTGGCGGAGATCCCAAGGTCATCCCGCAGCTGTCCTTCCAGCAGTTCCAGGACTTCCACGCGCAGTTCTACCACCCCTCCAATGCGCGCATCTGGTTCTATGGGGATGATGACCCCAACAAGCGCCTCGCCATGATTGCCGGTGAGGGGGCGTGGTGTAAATATTGGTGAAGGGGGCAAGGGGTGGTGCGAGGGGAGGTGGTAGAGGTAGTGTGTTCTTGCAGTGTCACAGCACACAGTTCTACAACCCCTCCAATGCGCGCATCTGGTTCTATGGGGATGACGACCCCAACAAGCGCCTCGCAATGATTGCTGGTGAGGGAGGGATGGTAGAAGGGGTGTTGTGAGGGGCGGCACATGGGGCAGCACATGGGGCGGCACATGGGGCGGCACATGGGCGGCACATGGGGCGGTACATGGGGCGGACCCAGGGCTGCTATCAGGGGGCAGGTGCAGTGTAAATCTGATGCCAATTCCTCCTCCCCCAAACCTTCCCATCCACCTCATCCTCCCCCTCATCTTCCCAATCTCCTGCTCACCCTCCCGCTCACCCTCACTCTCACCCTCCCTCTCCTCCTCCCTCTCCCCTTCGTCTCACCCTCTCTCTCTCCTCCCTCTCACCCTCCCTCACCTCCCTCCCTCCCATCCCTCCAGAGTATCTCGACAAGTTTGACGCCAATCCAGCAGCCCCAAGGAGTCACAGGTGTCCGCCCAGCCTCTCCTCTCCAAGCCGTGCCCCTCGTCACCATATTCTCAACCCACCCAATTCCCTCTCACCCTCCCTCCCTTCCCCCCCCCCCCCCTCTCCCTTGCACCCCTCCAGAGTTTCTGGACAAGTTTGACGCCAATCCAGCAGCCCCCAAGGAGTCACAGGTGTCCGCCCAGCCTCTCCTCTCCAAGCCGTGCCCCTCGTCACCATATTCTCAACCCACCCAATTCCCTCTCACCCTCCCTCCCTTCCCCCCCCCCCCTCTCTCCCTTGCACCCCTCCAGAGTATCTGGACAAGTTTGACGCCAATCCAGCAGCCCCCAAGGAGTCACAGGTGTCCGCCCAGCCTCTCCTCTCCAAGCCGTGCCCCTCGTCACCATATTCTCAACCCACCCAATTCCCTCTCACCCTCCCTCCCTTCCCCCCCCCCCCCCTCTCCCTTGCACCCTTCCAGAGTATCTGGACAAGTTTGACGCCAAACCAGCAGCCCCCAAGGAGTCACAGGTGTCCGCCCAGCCTCTCCTCTCCAAGCCGTGCCCCTCGTCACCATATTCTCAACCCACCCAATTCCCTCTCACCCTCCCTCCCTTCCCCCCCCCCCCCCTCTCCCTTGCACCCCTCCAGAGTATCTGGACAAGTTTGACGCCAATCCAGCAGCCCCCATGGAGTCACAGGTCTCAGCCCAGCCGCTCCTCTCCAAGCCCTGGCGCATCGTCGACACCTACCCCTCCTCCGCCGATGCCGCCCCCTCCGAGTCCTCCGAAGAAGAAGCAGCAGACGGCGATGAATCCTCTTCCCCCTCCTCCTCCTCCTCCTCAGCAGCAGCACCCAGGAGGCACATGACAGCTGTGAACTGGGTGCTCTCAGAGTCACCGCTGTCTCTCCCTCAGGAGCTCACTCTCGGTTTCCTCGACCATCTCCTCCTAGGCACGCCCGCTGCCCCCCTCCGCAAAAAGCTCCTGGAATCCGGGCTCGGGGAGGCCATCGTGGGCGGCGGGCTACAGGACGAGCTACGCCAGCCAGTATTTTCGATCGGGCTGAAGGGCGTGGCGGCCGCCGATGTGCCTAAAGTGGAGCAGCTTGTAATGGAGGTTTTAGAGGAGCTGGAGAGGGACGGGTTCACCGAACCGGCGGTCGAAGCGGCTGTGAACACTGTCGAGTTTGCTCTTAGAGAGAACAACACGGGGTCGTTCCCCCGAGGCCTCTCCCTCATGCTGCGATCCATGGGGAAATGGATCTACGGTGGAGATCCCATCGAGCCGCTGCGATTCGAGGGGCCTCTGGCAGAATTCAAGGAGAAAATCCGCCAGCCGGGGGGAATTAAAGCCGTGTTCAGCCCGCTGATTCGGGCTTACCTCCTAGACAACCACCACAGGGTGACTGTGGAAATGCAGCCGGATCCCACCAAGGCAGACGCGGACGAGGAAGCAGAGCGGGCGGTGCTAGAGTCTTTCAGGCAGAAGCTAGCGGAATCAGACCTAGAGAAGCTGGTAGAGGCGACTAAGGAGCTCAAGGAACGGCAGGAGACTCCCGAACCTCCCGAGGCGCTTCGGTGCGTGCCGAGCCTGCAGCTGGAGGATATTCCAAAGCAGCCGGTGCAGGTGCCGATTGCGGTGGATCGGGATGGGTCAGGGGCGACTATCCTGCGCCACGACCTGTTCACCAATGACGTGCTCTATTTGGACCTCGCTCTCGACATGAGGCACCTGCCTGCTCACCTCGTGCCGCTGGTTTCCCTCTTCTGGTGAGTCCCACCCCACCCCATCTTCTGGTTTCCCTAGCATGCCCCACCCCACCTTCCCCACTATCCTGGACCATGACCTGTTCACCAATGATGTGCTCTATTTGGACCTCGCTCTCGACATGAGGCACCTGCCTGCTCACCTCGTGCCGCTGGTTTCCCTCTTCTGGTGAGTCCCACCCCACCCCATCTTCTGGTTTCCCTAGCATGCCCCACCCCACCTTCCCCACTATCCTGGACCATGACCTGTTCACCAATGACGCGCTCTATTTGGACCTCGCTCTCGACATGAGGCACCTGCCTGCTCACCTCGTGCCGCTGGTTTCCCTCTTCTGGTGAGCCCTAGCGTGCCCTCCCTCCCATACCCCCCACCACACTATCTTGCGCCACGACCTGTTCACCAATGATGTGCTCTATTTGGATCTGGCGTTGGAAATGAGGCTCCTGCCTGCTCATCTCGTGCCACTCGTGTCCCTCTTCTGGTGAGTCCTAGCATGCCTCACCTTCTCCCCATCTATCATTCCATCCTGCGTCACGACCTGTGCACCAACGATGTGCTATAGCTGGACTTGGCATTGGATATGAGGCACCTGCCTGCCCACCTCGTGCCCCTCATGTCCCTCTCACCTCCGTCTGGTACAAGACAGGCTTTAGCACCCTCCTCGCCTCTCTCCTTCCCTTTCTCCCCCTTCCCCCCCAGCCAAACACTGTTGGAGATGGGAACCAAGGACATGCACTCTGTGGATCTGAACCAGCTGAACAAGACGGCCAGTATCCATATCCCTCTCCTCACCTCCCTCCCTTCCTCCCTCCCTTTCTCACTTTTCCTGCCAGCCAATCCCTGCTGGAGATGGGCACCAAGGACATGGACTTCGTTGATCTGAACCAGCTCATCGGCCGCAAGACGGGTGGCATCTCCATGTTCCCCCTCACCTCCTCCAAGCGCGGCTCCAAGCAGCCCGTCTCTTATCTTGTGGCCAGGGGCAAGGCCACGTCCGCCCAGGCAGCAGACCTGCTCAACCTGGTGAGTTCGCCAACTTTGGTGTTGTGCATATCTGCTGCTGCCGTGCATCTCCGTGTTCCACCTGGTGAGTTCGATGAATCTAATTCTGGACAGTGCGCTGCTTCCTGGGAAGGGGGTCGTGGGTTCCTCCTCATCCCCTCACCCGTGGTGCTGTGCAACGTGCAGCTGTAGGACCAGCAGTGGTATGACTCCATGCCTCATGCATCCCTTACCCACCTCCCATTCTCCCCTGCCCTCTCTCGCCGTCTCTCCCCTGCAGGTGCGAGTGGTGCTGTGCGACGTGCAGCTGACAGACCAGCAGCGCTTCAAGCAGTTTGTGGCACAGCGCAAGCAGGGCATGGAGGTGAGACCATGGGGATGGGGGTGGAGGTGAGAGGATGGGGATGGATGTGTGTGGCTGGTGGAGTTTCAAATCTTAAGTGTTGGTGCCAAATGAGTAAAGTGTTTTCACCCCATCCAAGCATGTTCCGCCCTTCCTTTCTCCCTCACGTTTCAGAAATAGACCCCTTACCCTCCACGCCCCTCCCCTCCTCTCCCTTTCCCTCCCCTCCCCTCCCATTTCTCCCCTGTTCCCTCCTCTCCAACTCCCCCAATCAGTCGCGTTTCCTGGGAAGTGGGCACAGCATTGCTGCCTCGCGATTGGACGCCATGGACAGCCTGGCAGGATGGGCCAATGAGCAGATGGGCGGCTACAGGTGAGTTGGTGGGCGGTTGCAGTTACGCGCATGGGGGAAAGGGGGGAAAGGGGGGGAAGAGATGGGGATGGGGGGAAAGAGCGGGGGGATGGGCGGACGGACGGATGAGCGGGTGCCCCCTGTGCCTATTCGAAGCAACTGGACGCCATGGACAGCCTAGCGGGATGGGCCAATGAGCAAATGGGTGGCTACAGGTGAGCAGATGGGCGGCTACAGGTGAGCGCATGGGGTATAGGATGTAAGGGTGGGGGATGGCGCGGGGTTATTTATGTGTTTCTGCTAGTGGAGCCTCCTGTAAACAGTAATCAGTGCTCTCCCCTGTGATGATCTCACAGTATTTTTCAAGTTTCAGCCTTGTCATATCTAAAGCCCTGCGCTTTGGGATGTTGACAAATGTTTGGCTGAGGGGAGCAGGAAGAATGGGGAAGAGAAATGGGAGGGATGTGTAATGGGATGGGGGTGGGGGCGTCACTCGCGTCTTCCCCTTCTTGCAAGGATATGTCACCTTCTCGTCACCTTTCTCTGCATGCCTTCTGACTTCCGTACTCGATCCCACATTCTTTTGCCTGTTATCTGCTTTGACGCTCTCACTCTCACTCTCACTCTCACTAGCCTCAATACTTTGCTTCTGCAATCTGTCTTCAGGAATTCCTGCCTTTCCTACCCTTCTCGCCCTCCTTCCTTCTTCCAGCTATCTGCAGTACCTGCGAGCTCTGGAGAAGCGAGTGGATGAGGACTGGCCAGGTGTCGCCGCCTCATTGGAGCAAATCCGCCAGGTGGTGCTCTCTGCTGACGGGGCGGTGGTCAACCTCACAGCTGACGCTGCCACGCTGGACAAGGCTGATGTGGCAGTGAGGGAGCTGCTGGCTTCCCTGCCAGCTCAGCGCGCACAGGTGGCAGGCTCTCCTTGGTCAACCCTGCCCGTGAAGAACGAAGCCTTCCTGGTCCCCACACAGGTGTGTATTTGGGGAAAAAAGGGGGAAGAGGCTGCATGCAGGCAGGCGGGCGGGCGGGCGGGCGGGCGGGTGGGCGGGCGGCGGGTGTGGGTGTCGGCGGTCGATCAGTTCGGCCTGTGATCTTTCAACCCCTCCCCCTTCACAATCCGCTCTCCATGCCACGCACTTTGGTGAAACGTGTCCGCAAGGCAATGAATCCCATATCCTCCTGTCTGTCCCTTCTCCCCCTGCTGTACCTCCTCCGCACACCCGTCTCCCTCCCCCCTCAGGTGAACTACGTGGGCAAGGCAGTCAACCTGTACGATGCCACGGGGTACGATTTGAGTGGTAGTACCTACGTGCTGCAATTCCTCCATCTCCACCCCTCTCCACTCCTCTCCACCCCTCCTCACCACAGGTGAACTACGTGGGCAAGGCAGTGAACCTGTACGACGCGGCGGGGTACAATCTGAGTGGCAGTGCCTACGTGGCATCCAAGCTGGTCGGCATGAGCTGGCTGTGGGACCGCGTCCGTGTCAGTGGCGGCGCGTATGGTGGCTTCTGTGACTTTGACTCTCATTCCGGTAAGTTCTCAGTCGACTCAGGAGTTGGCATGAGCTCTCTGTGGGACTGCGTCCGTCCGTGTTAGTGGCAGTGCTTATGGTGGCTTCTGTGACTTTGACTCGCACTCTGCCATGTACTCATGACTACTCATCTCTTATCTGTCATGTACTCAGCCATTCGCTGCTCTCTCTATCCCTCCCCCTCCCTCCCCCGCCAGGTGTCTTCACCATCCTGTCTTACCGCGATCCCAACCTGCTCTTTACCCTTGACAACTACGACGGAGCTGTGGAGTTCCTTGGGCAGTTGCACTCAAGGCCATTAGCACTCACTCACTGCATTCCTCTCCCCTCTCTTCGCCAGGTGTCTTCACCTTCCTGTCATACCGCGACCCCAACCTGCTCTCCACTCTCGACAACTACGACGGAGCAGTGGAGTTCCTGAGGCAGCTGCAGCTGGACGAGGATGCGCGCACCAAGGCCATCATTGGGACCATTGGGGATGTGGACTCGTACCAGCTGCCAGACTCCAAGGGCTACTCCAGGTGAGAACCTTTGTGCAGCTAGGTCTGAGGTGGTGTGCTGCCTCTGAGGCAGTTGCAGTTGAATGAGGGTGCGCGCACCAAGTCTATCATTGGGACCATTGCAGCTGCCAGACTCCAGGTGAGACCCAAATTAGCAGCTAGGTCTGAGGTGTTGCTGCTTAGTGGCAGTTGCGGTTTGACAAGGATGCGCGCACCAAGGCTATCATCGGGACCATCGGGGATGTTGATTCATACCAGCTGCCAGATTCCAAGGTCTACTCCAGCTGAGACTCTAAAGGTACTGCCTCTGAGACAGCTAGGACAACTCCAGGTAGGAACCAGAACGTGTTGTGTCACATCTATAGCTGCTTGCTCCATGCCATGAGCTACATGTCACATGCCATGAGCTACATGTCACATGCCATGAGCTACATGTCACATGCCACTTGCTCGTAATTTCGGTTGTCAACGTCTAAGCTGTCTCCCTCCTCACTTGCCCCCTTGGTGTGTGGTGTGTGTGTGGCAGCATGGTGCGATACCTGCTGGAAGTGAGTGAGGAGGACAGGCAGAAGCGGCGCGAGGAGATTCTCACCACCACGTAAGCCGCCCCTCCTTCCACCCCACCCACCCCTCCTTCCACCCCACCCACCCCTCCTTCCACCCCACCCACCCCTCGCACCTGGCCACCGTTCTTGTGACTCTGTCTCATCCGCGTGGCGCTCGTGTTCCTTTCCCATCAAGTGCAGTCTGTGTGTTGGATGCTACCATATGCAATGTGTTTGTCATCTCACTGCTACACATCAACCTCGTCTCTCACCAATTTACTCAGAAGACACCGTGTTTCTGGTGCTACCATATGCAATGTGTTTGTCATCTCACTACTACACATCAACCTCGTCTCTCCCCAATCTTTTGAAACAACTCTGAAGACACTGTGTTGCTGGTGCTACCATGTGCAATGTATCTGTCGTCTCACTGCCATCCACCAACCCCGTCTCTCCCTCTCTGCCCCCATCAGCAACAAGGAGCTGAACGAGCTTGCAGACTACCTGCAGGCAGTGAAGGAGAAGGGTACGGTGGTGGTGGTGGCATAAACCCTCACAATAATACTATCCACCACACCCATCCCTCCCATCTCCCCGGTCTCTCCCTCTCTGCCCCCACCAGCAACAAGGAGCTGAACGAGTTTGCAGACTACCTGCAAGCAGTGAAAGAGAAGGTGACAGTGGTGGTGGTGACATTCCTCTCACGCTCACTCACTATCAATCACTCACACCCAGCTCTCTCCATTCTCTCTGCCCTTGCCCCCACCAGCAACAAGGAGCTGAACGAGTTTGCAGACTACCTGCAAGCGGTGAAGGAGAAGGGCACGGTGGTGGTGGTGGCATCGCCTGGGGATGTGGAGGCAGCCAACAAGGAGAAGCCAGGGTTCCTCTCCACTATCAACGTGCTGTAGCCTGTGGCTGCACTTGATGTGGTGCTGCATGGTGCACACGTGGTGATGGGAGATGTGGTGAGAGCTGCTTCAGGTGGTGGTGGTGGCATCGCCTGGGGATGTGGAGACAGTCAACAAGGAGAAGCGAGGTGCCTGAGAACAATCAATCTGCTGTAGCTGCATGTAGTGATGCGGTGGAGTGTGGAGCAGTGATGTGGTGTAACCCTAGTTGTTTTTGCTACTGCAAATTGTAACCGTATGCAATAAACATGCACGTTATGAGTTGTAAGAGAGAGTGCGCAGAATAACAAATAACTAGGCTGTGGCTCAATGAACTGACAATACACTCCTAGCTAACTGAATTCGCACTGTACAGCTAGATAATTGCAACACCCAATAGGGCTCCCCAACTCAGCACAGTGGTGTGGGGCAATGTTGCTGGTCAGTTTCTCAGATTCCAAACAACCCCCTATTAATTTCTCTGTTTCCATCAATCAGTTTTCAGCAGCACTCACCTTCCAGTGCTGTGCGAGTGCCACAAAACTGCTGCGATCGCCTTCCCCGTCCACATTTGCTCCTCCTCCCTCCCCGCCATTCATATGCTCCCCCCCCCACTCCATTCACCTCCTGTCTTCCACAATTCATCTTCCCATGCCCCTCCCCATTCACCTCCCCGTTCTCCCCAGCAGCCTCTGTCTGCCCCTATCTGCAGTGCACGTGGGTGAGTGGGGACCAGTGGGGGGCAGGGGGGCAAGGCATGGAGTGCAGGGGGGTTGAGGCAGGGGGTGGGCAGGGGGAGTGAGACTCACCTCACCACGCCTTGCAGTTGCCCTCTCTGCACTGGTCGTCGTTGCCTTGCCCCACCTCCGCCATGCGTGAGAGGGGACATGGTGGGGTGAGGCAAGGGGGGTGCAGGGACCCTCACCACGCCTTGCAGCATGAGAATGGGGCGGGGTGCTGGAAAGCGGGAGAATGGGGCGGGGTGATGGAAAGCGAGAGAATGGGGCGGGGTGATGGAAAACGGGAGAATGGGGCGGGGTGATAGAAAGAGGGAGAATGGGGCGGGGTGATGGAAAAAGGGAGAATGGGGCGGGGTGATGGAAAGCGGGAGAATGGGCAGGGTGATGGAAAGAGGGAGAATGGGGTGGGGTGATGGAAAGCGGGAGAATGGGACGTGTCAAGATACTAAGCACCTAGGAAACTAGGTTTAGGCTTAGGATGCATAGTTAGGAGTAGGAGCTAGAGTTTAGCCTAGGCAAAGTAGAAGTCCAAGCAAAAGGAGGGGTTGCACTATGAAAAGAGAGGTACAAATAGAAGAGAACCAGCAAGGAGTGGTGCACCACCACACAGAATACTAGGTAACTACTCCACAGCTAGGACTACATGCACTTATACAGACATATATATAAGATATATTCTGACACACCCCCTAAGTGCATGCAGGAATAGCCATTGAGCAGAATACCCATGAAGTGGTACACCCTGTAGGGCGCAGCAAAAGTAGAGGCGTAGTGAGGAGGAGGAGAAGGAACAGTGAGGAGAGTGGAGAGAGAAGGCGACGGGTGAAGTCGCAGTCGCTCGGGCAACAGGAGCGGCGCGCACAGTGGCTACCGAGCGCACGAGGGCACCGGACTACGGGAGTATCTGACTCCACGGCTACGACGAGCGGCAGGAGTAACGGACCCACAGGCGACTGGCAAAGCAGGCTCGCTGGGCTACCGAGAGCACGAGGGCTCCGGACTACTGGCGCTGCTGACAACACGATGGCGACCTCCGCTCAACCTCCCCTAACTGTCCCACACCCCCTTCTCACACACCCCATGCTGCACCCCTAGATCCACTACCACGACACCCCCCTAGCGCCACTCCCCTCGGCTCCCACACATCCACCCCCCTCAGCGGCAGCTGCAGCAGTGGGAGACGGAGGAGGAGGAGGAAGGGACGACGCACACGTATCACCCCCACACCCGCCACCCCCACACCCTCCTGTCCAGGGGACCGGGGGGGGAAGAGCACGGGCAGCACAGGCACGGGCAGCAACGGGCGGCAACGGGCAGCACAGGCACGGGCAGCAACGGGCAGCACAGGCACGGGCAGCAACGGGCGGCAACGGGCAACACAGGCACGGGCAGCAACGGGCGGGAACGGGCACCACAGGCACGGGCAGCAACGGGCGGCAACGGGCAGCACAGGCACGGGCAGCAACGGGCAGCACAGGCACGGGCAGCAACGGGCCGCAACGGGCAGCACAGGCACGGGCAGCAACGGGCAGCAACGGGCAGCAACGGGCAGCACAGGCACGGGCAGCAACGGGCGGCAACGGGCAGCACAGGCACGGGCAGCGACGGGCAGCAACGGGCAGCACAGGCACGGGCAGCAACGGGCGGCAACGGGCAGCAACGGGCAGCACAGGCACGGGCAGCAACGGGCGGCAACGGGCAGCACAGGCACGGGCAGCAACGAGCGGCAACGGGCAGCACAGGCACGGGCAGCAACGGGCGGCAACGGGAAGCAGCAGAGCGCACGAGGGCGCGGGCAGAGCAGAGCGCACGAGGGCGCGGGTGAGACAGAGCGCACGAGGGCGCGGGCAGCAGCAGAGCGCACGAGGGCGCGGGCAGAGCAGAGCGCACGAGGGCGCGGGTGAGACAGAGCGCACGAGGGCGCGGGCAGAGACAAGGCAGCTGCACAGGGTCCAGGAGCGGCGTCGCGGACAGCTGCAGGGGCGGCTGCTCCAGGGGCCAGGGGCGGCTGCTGCAGGGGCGGCTGCTCCAGGGGCCAGGGGCGGCTGCTGCAGGGGCGGCTGCTCCAGGGGCCAGGGGCGGCTGCTCCAGGGGCCAGGGGCGGCTGCTGCAGGGGCGGCTGCTCCAGGGGCCAGAGGCGGCTGCTGCAGGGGCGGCTGCTCCAGGGGCCAGGGGCGGCTGCTGCAGGGGCGGCTGCTCCAGGGGCCAGGGGCGGCCGCTCTGGGTCCAGGGGCGGCTGCTCCAGGGGCGGCGTCGCTGGTGCAGGGCAGGCCCGCACTCGGCTGCAAAGTAGGCGCGGGCGCAGGTGAGGCAGAGGCGGCGGCCAGGGGGGGGGGCGCCGCGACAAGCAGGGGCGACGTCCCAAGGGCACCGCGACGAGCAGGGGCGACGCCCCAGGGGCGCCGCGACGAGCAGGGGTGGCGTCCAGGGGGCGCCGCGACGAGCAGGGGCGACGCCGCGCGGGTCCCGCAGGGGCGTCGCGACGAGCAGGGCAACGCCGCGCGGGTCCCGCAGAGGCGTCGCGACGAGCAGGGCAACGCCGCGCGGGTCCCGCAGGGGCGTCGCGACGAGCAGGAGCGGCGACGCACGGGTCCCGCAGAGGCGTCGCGACGAGCAGGAGCGGAGCCTCGCAGGGCGCCGCGAAGGGCAGGGTACGGGCGGGCAGAACAGGCCCGCGCGCGGACGTGGGGCAGGCGCGCAGGCGGCGTGAGAGCAGGCCGCGCGAGGGGCAGGAAGACGCCGCGCGCCCAAGGCGCACGGTGGGCAGAAAACCGCCGTGCACCCCGAGCACACGGCGGGCAGAAAATCGCCGCGCGCCCGGGGCGCACGGCGAGGAAAATACGCCGCGCGCCCGAGGCGCGCGACAGGATGACAGGCAGCGGAAGCTGACTGGTGGGTCCGTTAAGGAAGGCCGCAGGAAGGTTCCTGCTCTGATTACCATGTCAAGATACTAAGCACCTAGGAAACTAGGTTTAGGCTTAGGATGCATAGTTAGGAGTAGGAGCTAGGGTTTAGCCTAGGCAAAGTAGAAGTCCAAGAAAAAGGAGGGGTTGCACTATGAAAAGAGAGGTACAAATAGAAGAGAACCAGCAAGGAGTGGTGCACCACCACACAGAATACTAGGTAACTACTCTACAGCTAGGACTACATGCACTTATACAGACATATATATAAGATATATTCTGACAGGACGGGGTGATGGGAAGCGGGAGAATGGGGCGGGGTTATGGAAAGCGGGAGAATGGGGCGGGTGATGGAAAGCGGGAGAATGGGGCGGGGTGATGGAAAGAGGGTGAATGGGGCGGGGTGATGGAAAGCGGGAGAATGGGGCGGGATGATGGAAAGCGGGAGAATGGGGCGAGGTGATGGAAAGCGGGAGAATGGGGTGGGGTGCTGGAAAGCGGGAGAATGGGGCGGGGTGATGGAAAGTGGGAGAATGGGGCGGGGTGCTGGAAAGCGGGAGAATGGGGCGGGGTGATGGAAAGTGGGAGAATGGGGCGAGGTGCTGGAAAGCGGGAGAATGGGGCGGGGTGATGGAAAGCGGGAGAAAGGGGCGGGGTGCTGGAAAGCGGGAGAATGGGGCGGGGTGATGGAAAGCGGAAGAATGAGGCGGGGTGATGGAAAGCGGGAGAATGGGGCGGGGTTATGGAAAGAGGGAGAATGGGGCGGGGTGATGGAAAGAGGGTGAATGGGGCAGGGTGATGGAAAGCGGGAGAATGGGGCGGGGTGATGGAAAGAGGGAGAATGGGGCGGGGTGGAGGAGCGGCTATTAACAGTGGATCAGACCCTGGTTGAGAGAGTGGAGGCTGTTATGGGGCAGATGATAGAGTCGAAGAAGGGATTGAAGGAGGCTGAGCAAGGACGAGTAGCGGATATGAGGGAGATGAGAGGGCAAGCTAAGGAGAGGGAGAGGGAGTTGGCAGCAGTGAAAAGGAGCTAGCTGATCTATGTAGTTTGACAGATATAGACATTCCAGTCATACATGGTACCTGCACTACAGATGCGCATAGCGACCAAACTGACCAGCGCATTACTCATGTTTGTAGAGATGCAGTTACTACCATATTCTTGCCAGTCCACTTGTTTACACCTTCTACTTCAACAACACTAGGTTATAACCTTTCCGATCCATATAATTTGGGAGATTTCAGAGTTCCAGTTCTGCCTTGTACCTACACGCAAGCGTGCATACTGACCTTACCAGCCGACACATTATTCTCTCCGTACAAATACTACCATATGTATTCCCAATTCTGTTAAATGATACCATTCCCCACCCCCTTACCATGTTTTAACCTATCGGATCTATGTAATTTGACAGATAAAGACATTTCAGTCGTACATGGTACCTGCACTATAGGCGCGCATACCGACCAAACTGACTAGCGCATTATGTATGTTTGTAGAGATGCAATTAGTGCCATATTCTTGCCAGTCCACTAGATTAGACCTTCTACTTCAACAACACTAGGTTATAACCTTTTGGATCCACATAGTTTGGGAGATTTAAGAGTTCCAGCTCCGCCTTGTACCTACACACAAGCGTGCATACTGACTGGCCTTACCGGCCGACGCATTATTCTTTCTGTACAAATACAGCAAATACCATATGCATTCCCATTTACTTTAAATAAAAACATTTCATTCGTACATGGTACCTGTACTACATGCGGGCATACCGACCAAACTGACCAGCGCATTACGTATGTTTTAAAAAATAAAGTTAGTGCCATATTCTTGACAGTCCACTAGATTAGGCCTTCTACTTCAACAACACTTGGTTATAACCTTTCCAATCCACATAATTTGGGAGATTTCAGAGTAACAGGTCCCCCTTGTACCTACACACAAGCGTTACCGGCCGACGCATTATTCCCTCTGTACAAATACAGTGAATATCACATGTATTCCCATTTACTTTAATATTATACCATTTCCCACCTCCCTACCATGTTTTAACCTATCGGATCTATGTAATTTGACAGATATAGACATTCCAGTCATACATGGTACCTGCACTACAGGCGCGTATACCGACCAAACTGACCAGCGCATTACTTATGTTTGTAGAGATGCAGTTAGTACCATATTCTTGCCAGTCCACTAGATTAGGCCTTCTACTTCAACAAAACTTGGTTATAACCTTTCCAATCCACATAATTTGGGAGATTTCAGAGTTCCAGCTCCGCATTGTACCTACACACAAGCGTGCATACTGACCTTACCGGTCGACGCATTATTCTCTTTGTACAAATACAGTGAATACCGTATGTATTCCCATTTACATTATATTATAACATTTCCCACCCCCCTACCATGGTTTAACCTATCGGATCGATGTAATTTGGCAGATATAGACATTCCAGTCATACATGGTACCTGCACTACAGGCGCGCATAGCGACCAAACTGACCAGCCCATTACTTATGTTTCTAGAAATGCAGTTAGTGCCATATTCTTACCAGTCCACTAGATTAGGCCTTTTACTTCAACAACACTTGGTTATAAGCTTTTTGATCCACATAGTTTGGGAGATTTCAGAGTTCCAACTCCGCCTTGTACCTACACACAAGTGTGCATACTGACCTTACCGGCCGACGCACTATTCTTTCAGTACAAATACAGCAAATACAATATGTATTCCCATTTCTACGATTTCGGCCCCTACGATTTCGGCCGTTCTCGCCGGCAAATGCTCCGGAAGCGCTTGAGTCCCTATAGGCGCGGGGAAAAGCATTCACCGACCTGCATGTTAGTGAGTATTCGAGTGGCCCATGTTCGAATGCACCTAGTGGAGCCCTTCCGGGTCGGTTCTTGCGCCGAGAAAAGTTCGGCGCTTACGATATCGACCGTTCTCGCCGGCAAATGCTCCGGAAGCGCTTGAGTCCCTATAGGCGCGGATAAAAGCATTCGCCGACCTCCATGTTAGTGCGTATTCGAGTGGCCCATGTTCGAATGCACCTAGTGGAGCCCTTCCGGGTCGGTTCTTGCGCCGAGAAAAGTTCGGCGCCTACGATTTCGGCCGTTCTCGCCGGCAAATGCTCCGGAAGCGCATGAGTCCCTATAGGCGCGGGGAAAAGCATTCACCGACATGCATGTTAGTGCGTATTCGAGTGGTCCTTGTTCAAATGCACCTAGTGGAGCCCTTCCGGGTCGGTTTTTGCGCCGAGAAAAGTTCGGCTCCTACGATTTCGGCCGTTCTCGCCGGCAAATGCTCCGGAAGCGCATGAATCCCTATAGGCGCGGGGAAAAGCATTCACCGACCTGCATGTTAGTGCGTATTCGAATGGCCCATGTTCGAATGCACCTAGTGGAGCCCTTCCGGGTCAGTTCTTGCGCCGAGAAAAGTTCGGCGCCTACGATTTCGGCCGTTCTCGCCGGCAAATGCTTCGGAAGCGCATGACTCCCTGTAGGCACGGGGAAAAGCATTCACCGACCTGCATGTTAGTGCGTATTCGAGTGGCCCATGTTCGAATGCACCTAGTGGGGCCCTTCCGGGTCGGTTCTTGCGCCGAGAAAAGTTCGGTGCCTACGATTTCGGCCGTTCTTGCCGGCAAATGCTCCGGAAGTGCATGAGTCCCTGTAGGCGCGGGGAAAAGCATTCACCGACCTGCATGTTAGTGCGTATTCGAGTGGCCCATGTTCAAATGCACCTAGTGGAGCCCTTCCGGGTCGGTTCTTGCGCCGAGAAAAGTTCGGTGCCTACGATTTCAGCCGTTCTCGCCGGCAAATGCTCAGGAAGCGCATGAGTCCCTATAGGCACGGGGAAATGTCAAAATACTAGCTAGAACTAGTAGCCATAGCTAGTATTTAGGGTACACGAAAGAGAAATGGAAGAAGAAGAGGGGTTGCACTACCAAGCAGTTGAGTACATATAGGAAACCCTAAATTGGGCTGTACTCGCTATAGAGTACCCCACTGCAGGCTAGACAAATACAACATTCTGACACACCCCCATAGCCAAAGTGGGGTGTAATCAGCACAACAAGCAGGAGTTTACAGTTCACAAATATAAGCAAAGCTAGAGGCTATCACAGAGGGCTAGTGAGGAGGAGGAGGGACTGTGGGGGCGAAAAGATGGGAGGCGACGGCTGAAGCTGCAGACACACGGGCAGCAGGAGCGGCTGGCACAGTGTCTACCGAGAGCACGACGGCTCCGTACTACAGGAGTAACTGGCTCCGCGGCTACGACGAGCGGCAGGAGCAACGGACCCACGGGCGACAGGCACAGCAGGCTCGCTGGGCTACCGAGAGCAAGACAGGCTCCGGACTACTGGCGCTGCAGGCAACACGACGGCAGCCTCCACGCAACCTCCCCCAACTGTCCTACCCCCCCTTTCACACACCCCTTGCTGTACCCCTAGCTCCACTCCCACGTCACCCCCCTAGCACCACTCCTTCGGCTCCCACACACCCACCCCCCTCAGCGGCAGCTGCAGCAGTGGGAGACGGAGGAGGAGGAGCAGCAAGGGACGGCTCACACACCCGCCACCCCCATACCCTGTAGTGGTAATGGTAATGGTAATGGTAATGCAAATGGTAATGGTGATGGTAATGGTAATGGTAATGGTTATGGTTATGCTAATGGTAATGGTAATGCTAATGGCAATGGTAATGGTAATGCTAATGGTAATGCTAATGGTAATGGTAATGGTAATGCTGAATGGTAATGGTAATGGTAATGGTAATGCTAATGCAAATGGTAATGGTAATGGTAATGGTAATGCTAATGGTAATGGTAATGGTAATGGTAATGCTAATGTTAATGGTAATGGTAATAGTTATGGTAATGGTAATGCTAATGGAAATGGAAATGGTAATGGTAATGCTCATGGTATTGGTAATGGTAATGGAAATGCTAATGGTAATGGTAATGGTAATGGTAATAGTAATGGTAATGGTAATGGTAATGCTAATAGTAATGGTAATGGTAATGGTAATGCTAATGCTAATGCTAATGGTAATGGTAATGGTAATGGCAATGGTAATGGTAATGCTAATGGGAATGGTGATGCTAATGGTAATGATAATGGTAATGGTAATGCTAATAGTAATGGTAATGGTAATGATAATGGTAATGGTAATAGTAGTGGTAATGGTAATGGTAATAGTGATGGTAATGGTAATGGTAATGCAAATGGTAATGGTGATGGTAATGGTATTGGTAATGGTTATGGTTATGCTAATGGTAATGGTAATGCTAATGGTAATGGTAATGGTAATGCTAATTGTAATGCTAATGGTAATGGTAATGGTAATGCTAAATGGTAATGGTAATGGTAATGCTAATGCAAATGGTAATGGTAATGGTAATGGTAATGATAATGGTAATGGTAATGGTAATGGTAATGGTAATGGTAATGGTAATGGTAATGTTAATGGTAATAGTAATAGTTATGGAAATGGTAATGGTAATGCTAATGGTAATGGAAATGGTAATGGTAATGCTTATGGTATTGGTAATGGTAATGGAAATGCTAATGGTAATGGTAATGGTAATGGTAATAGTAATGGTAATGGTAATGGTAATGCTAATAGTAATGGTAATAGTAATGGTAATGGTAATGCTAATGCTAACGGTAATGGTAATGGTAATGGTAATGGTAATGGTAATGGTAATGGTAATGGTAATGGTGATGGCAATGGTAATGGTAATGCTAATGGGAATGGTGATGCTAATGGTAATGATAATGGCAATGGTAATGCTAATAGTAATGGTAATGATAATGATAATGGTAATGGTAATGGTAATGGTAGTGGTAATGGTAATGGTAATGCTAATGTTAATGGTAATGGTAATGCTAATGGTAATGGTAACGGTAATGGTAATGCTAATGGTAATGGAAATGGTAATGGTTATGGTTATGCTAATGGTAATGATAATGGTAATGGTAATGGTAATGCTAATGGTAATGGTAATGGTAATGGTAATGCTAATGGTAATGATAATCGTAATGATAATGGTAATAGTAATACTAATAGTAATGGTAATGGTAATGGTAATGCTA